ATGTTTTTTTCCTGTATTTTCTTCTAGAAGTGATTCATTATAGTATTTATAGTTAGGCCTCTCATCAATTTTGAGTTGATTTTGAGTATGAGGCATAGGTCAGGGTGTTTTTTGCAAATGGATATCCAATTGTCCCCCAAATAAAATGTCAATTTATTGAAAAGACAATCCTTTCCTTTGTTGAATTATCTTGGTACCTTTGCTAAAAATTAATTGACAATCTCAATACAAAATGACATAAATGTAAGGGTGTAGTTCTGGATTCTCAATTCTGATACATTTAGATGGACTATTCCAGCATATGACAGTGTGCCAATATCTCACTGTTTTATTATTGTGACTTTTTATTAAGTTTAAAAAATCAGGTAGTATAAGTCTTTCAACAATTTTGTCCTTTTTCAAAATTGTTTTGACTATTCTAAATCCGTTGCATTTTCATATGAATTATAGGCTCAGCTTGTTAATTTTTACAAAAACTCTGTTGGGATTTTGATAGGGATTCTGTTGCATATATAGATCAATTTGGGGATAATTGCCACTTGACAATACTGAGTCTTCCAACCCCAAAACATGAATGTCTCTCCATTTATTTAAATTTCTTTAATTTTTAAACTGTAGTAAAATTAACATAAAATTACCATGTTAACTATTCTTAAGTGTACAGTCCAGTAATGTTAAGTACTTACACATCTTGTGAACAGATCTCCAAAACTTTTTCATCTTGTAAAACTGAAACTCTGTACCCAAGAAACAACAACTTCCCCTTCGCCCCTCAAGAGAGTTTTTATTAAATAAAAATTCATAAATTACTATATTTCAAAACTTCACAAATAAAAGGGCAAACCACAAACTGAAAGATAGAGCCTATTTGCAGCCAATCATATATGAAATGCTTTCACATGTGCAAAAGGAAGTCACTCAAATAGCAAAATGGACCCCCAAAATTGAAAAGATGATTCATAAAAGCAAAAGGGCCAATCAACTTATAAAATATTTAGCCTCATTAGTAATCAAAGAAATGTGCATTAAAATGCCAATTTTGCTTGTCAAGGTGGCAAAAGCATTTTAGGTGATAGCGCTCAATGCCAAGTTACTCTCAGTGAGGTGGGTGGGCTCACACCTGCTGGTGGACACACAACGCAGTACAGCTGCTAGAGTTTTGTTTGGCAATTACTTCAAAACCTTAAAATATTCATAACCTTTTACCCACTAATGCCACTTTAACATCCTGTCCTTAGACGAGAGCAACGTGCCCAAATATTTATTTACAAGACTGTTTTGCACATCATTATTTATAAAAACAAAATATATAAGCAACCCAAATATCTGACAGAACATGGTCACATAAAGTATAACACAGTCAAATGACAGGCCAGTATGGAGACTTTCTAAGAAAAGTGTATGTATCAGCATGCACAAAGGGAAAATAGAAAGAAATATACCCAAATGGTGGCTAGCTATGCATGGTGGGAGATTTAAAAAATTTTAAATCAAAATATTAAACATTTTCAGTAACAAGTATGTAATATTCAGTAGTAAGTGTGCATTGCTTTTTTTGCATTCAGTTTCCTACTGTGATCCTTGATCATTCTTTTTTTAAAAATTTGTATTGTTGAAAGTATTGCAGATGTCTCCCATTTTCTCCCTTTTTGCCTCCCTCCACCCCACCCCAGGCCTTCCCCATACTTCAATCAGAAGAAAAGCCTTAAAAAGGAGACTTTTATAAAAAGGCTTAACATATAGAATATATACAGATCTTTAAAAAATTTAAATATCCATATACTGTTCAACTAGTTAATTTGACTTAGTATCTGTGAACCCTTAGTATCTACTTAGGGTTTAACATATATACTTGTGAAAAAAGGAATTTTTCTTCTATTCTGAAAGTTGTAATGGTGTGGGTGTGTGTGTGTGTGTGTGTGTGTGTGTGTGTGTGTGTTAATGAAACTGAATAAACTGGCAGAATTTTATCATGGATATTTGGATTTTTCTCCCCAGGTATTTAGCCTGTCCTATGTAGTTAAGTTGGATTTTAACCTGGTTTTGACACTTGTAGTTGTAGGGAGCTGAAATACGGCACCTCAGGAACATGTGGGATTAAATACTTCTATACAGTGTGCTGTGAACCTAAATACCATTTATAGTTGTGATACCATGGAGGGAAATCCAAATTCCAAACAACATTCCTATGTTTGGAATAATTCCTCTGACAAAATTAAAATTTTAATTGTTATTTTGAAAATATTTTAAAACTTCATGATTGCATGAAAAACTTTATAGAAATCTGTTACCTGGGATGAAAAGCACCGTGAAAGAACATCAATTTACACTAATTTAGCTATGCATGGTGGGAGATTTAAAAAAATTTTAAATCAAAATATTAAACACTTTCAGTAATGAATATGCAATGTTCTTATTTAATAATCTTATTTATAAGTAATACTCTTATTTACATTAATATATATATTTTTGCCACTGTACTTGAGGCCAAAATGTGCCTGTTGAGTCGACCTACCTGAGTGACTGGCAGCCCTTTAAAGTACAGGGAACTGAATGAAGATTGCAGATGCCTAAATCAGGTCATGTCCAGTGAGCCAGGTACCACACATAGTGCAAAAAATACGAGAACCCCAAGACCCTGGGTGGGATGAATTGTTGAGAGAGGGAGAGGGAGTCGATGCTGGGAGACCCTCCCGAAACGTTGACTGCTCCCCGAAGCAGGAGAGACTTGCCCAGTTCCAGCTTGGCCCAGGGATCCTGGCAGAAAATCTGATCTGACCTGACATGTGATTGGTACCCAATGGCAGCCAAGAATGTGCTCTACTGGGAAGGGCATTTATCACTCGTACCATTAATCACGCATGTTCGAGGACCTTCTCTGCCAAGAGGAATAAAATGAGCAGATAAACTCCTCATGTACTGAACCAAACCCAAGTTTTGGAAGCAAAGAGCAGCTGAAGAACCTAATGAAACTGCTTTGAATATTCAGATTAACTGGGAACTGATGAAGATGCCAGTCCTTTGCAAGCGAGAGTGGCCTGTGGATGGAGTGGCACCCATTCATTCAAGAGGCCAAGAAAATAAAGCCCATATGCCTCTCTAGAGAAGCAATTAAAAAACATCTGATACATACATTTCCAAAGCTGCACAAATGAAGGTTTTTTTCTTCCTTCTCCTATAGCTTCAGAAAAAGAGATTGCTTAAACATGTATTTCATATTACTTACTGGGAATGATGCTAAACATTTTTAGGTCTTTACTTTTAATCACAAACTCCTGTTTTTTTGTTTGTTTAGTGCTACTAGAGGGGCACAAATATATGTCTCCTTTCTCTCTTCATTGTCTCCCCTTCTGTCTCTTTCTATCCTCTCCTTCCAATCATCACAGAAAATTCAGAACAGCATCGTGGCCTGATTGAGTTTAATCCTAAGGTCTCTGCTTCTGCTTCTCTTCCATTCCTGCGCCCCTAAACCTAAGATTAAAACAGAAATTCTATGACTGCAGACTAGTGACATGAATAATAAAACAAATACAGGCAAATCCATTTTGTGTATGTAAAAATTCCTCTCTCCTTAGCTTTATTTTACAAGGAGATGTGTGCTAGGAGTGGAGGGAGTTTGAGCAGAACAAAATGCAGTTTCATATTGAGTGTCCACTTTTCTATGTGGGCACTTCCAGGGAGCGCCTCACTCCAGAGCGCCTCACGTTCATCACTGCTGTGGATGTCGGTTCCCTTGTGTCTGTATCCTATCCTGCTGCTGTGCCATATATTTTTATGTTTTATCATCTCACCTTCCTTCTCTCTTCACTCTCAATGTAAAGTTATCTCCTCTTATCTGGAAAGATCTCTGGCCCTCGCTGGTTTGGCTCAGTGGTTAGAGCATCGGCCGGTGGACTGAAGGGTCCCGGTTCGATTCCAGTCAAGGGCACATGCCCAGGTTGCAGGTTCGATCTCCAGTGAGGGGGCATGCAGGAGGCAGCCAATCAATGATTCTCTCTCATCATTGATGTTTCTATTTCTCTCTCTCTATCCCTTCCTCTCTGAAATCAATAAAACTACATTAAAAAAAAAAGATCTCGGAAGAGGCTCCAACTTTAAATAAAACCAACTGTTCGCCGTAGTCCCCAAGGTCCAGTCATTTCTGCATTCTGTTGCATCTCAGAGATGTGTCCCCAAAGAGGCAGTCGTTATTTTAGTCTCTCAGTTTTCCATACCTTTCTTCTCATGTGAAGATAAAATTGAAAAACAGATCATACGAACCATACCCTTGTTGCTGTTCAGTTTTTGATGCTCTTTTGTTTTGTGAAACATTTTATTCCATCAAGTGCCAGTGATGCATGCACTGTGCTGTGGAAAAATAATGTGCTTTTGAGGATTGTAGTGCTCAGGACGGAGTGAATAGTTACAGCGGTGTCCCTTTCAAGGTCACCCACTCAGAGCTGCTAATTTTAGCCCTCGGCCCTAGTTCCATAAGAGGTTTCTTTCTAAGCTGTCAGTTTCCAGGTGCGGTAGGCTGAAACACATTTGTAGAGAGGCAAAGTAGTGACAGAATACCACTTCTGGATTTTCTGTGTTCTTTCTTGGATTTGGACAAAATTGAGTAACAGAAATGCCCACGTTACAAAATCTACTTTGCCAGCAGGAACACTTCCTGACAATTTGAAGGAACAGGGCTCATGGTATTTCTTCTATGGATTTCTGCTCTTGCTCTATTCTCTTCTTACTACTGTAGTTATAATAGGAAGAGAGAGAATGTGTGTGGAGGGTGGAGGGCGGGGGGAGGGCTGCTGGGGGAGGAGGGGGGAGGAGGGTGGATCCTGCCTTGCTGTGGCTTCTGCTTTTTTCAGAGAACTTCAGAGAACGACGGTAATACCAGTTCTAAATGAACAACATATGACTCTTGTTTGCACCTCCCTCCTCCCCGCCCCCCCTCGGGTTTCCTATGCGCACTTCAGATGCCTGATACCCTTGATAGGACTGCTGGTGTTACTCCAGCCTTAATCACTTTATCAGGCAACGAGATTCTGCTTTTCTGAGAGGCCAGCCACTAACCCTGAGGTCCCTCGTGGCCTCTGCAGAGCGCTGCTCGGTCTCCCGAGACATCAGTGACAGCTCATCTGCGTTTCATCAGCTCGCTGGGCCCCGGTGCCAGGGCCTCCCCGGCGTCAACAACAAGTGTCGCACCTACTGCAGGAACAGCCCTCAAGTTTCATCACAGTGATGCTAAAAAACATTCTCCAGCTTCAGCAATGACCTAGTTCATTCGAGGGCAGGGAAAAATGCTCTCCTTCCAGAACTCCCCTGGGCACGGAATTCTCCCTCTTAGGAAGAGAGGAGCTTTTCTGGGAACAGACCCAACTGTGCTTTGACCCGATCGTGGACAAGACCCTGAGCCCCGTAGCTCCTCTGAGTCCCCAGGCCCAGGAACAGGGACGCCCAATCAATGCCTCCCACGCAGCCCGGGGAGCCCACTGCCGAGCCAGCTCTCCTATCACGTCTCTGGGACAAAAAGTACTGAAAAGTAAGTATCTAGACTTTGGCTTTTATATAAGAAACAGCAGTGCTTTCAATACGCAGTCGTTTACATGTTCTACAACAGGGAACAGAGCAGACTGTGTCCTTGTGAAATAGAGCAAAGTGAAGTAAGGACTGGGTAGTATGTGTGGGTCTCTAGGGTTTTTAAGTAGCCAAAGGTTCACTTTCGGTTTAGGTTCCTCTTGGGAAAGTATGACTTTGTGATGTCTGCTTATTTTGGCTTGACAATAGTTTTAAAAGATTCTTTCACATCATGGCTATCAAGACATTTAGGAAAAAGTCTACCAAAACTTAGCAAAACAAACATATAGGAAGACTCAAAAGAGCAATTGTAAAGACTTTGCACAGGCACATGAACTCAGGCCCCAGATGCCTCTGCCTGGAATATTTGGGTGTTTTAGTCAAAGGTTATTCCTTTTACCTGGGTGATCGTGATGATTGGAAACGCCGCGTTCTGAGTGGCCACAGAGGAGTCACGTTACTGAGAAGCTATCGGCCATTTCAAAATGGCTGCTGTCAACATCCATCCAGGCGTTAAAATAGCTCTTTTTCTTTTCTTTTTCTTTTTAGATTATAGGAAGAGCACTTAACATGAGGTCTTTGCTCTGAATACAGTGTTAAGTGTACAGTGCAGTATTGTTAACTAGAGGCATGACGTGGGACTCGAGTTGTTACATTGATCTTTAAAAAATATATATAAGACAAAAAGTCAACCCAAAAAAGCCACCGATAAAATAGCACCACGGTCACGTTACATGTTGATGAACACATCCAAGCTTTAAAACCACTGATTAAGGGTGTCAGTTACAGACGAGCAATCATTTAAAAATAGATAAAAGTAAGACCAGCATGTAGAGCTGTTTCTGCTCTAATTATTTTCTTTCCACACCTTTTCCTTGAGTAAAGGTTGGCTTCAGTTTTTAAGATGAATTAACCAGGATTGGGAAGAGATGTTCTATAACAGCCCCCCAGCAAAGGGAAACCTGAATGCATGTCTTTGCTGTGAGGCTTCTGGGCTGAAACCCAGCCACCTTCTGAAGCGATAGATGGACAGGTCCTGCATTACAAGCCACCGTGGTCAGTAAACACATTCAGATCTTGGAAATCTGGATTGAAAACAAATAAATGTATTTGAAAGGTTTTTAATTTTTAAATCCTTATGTGAGGATATGTTTACAGAGAGGAAGGAAGAGAGAAAGAGAAACATAGATGTGAGAGAGAAACATCCATTGGTTGCCTCCGTGCAAGCCCTGACCAGGGATTTAACCCGAAACTTAGATATGTGCCCTGCCTGGGAATCAAACCCACCACTTTTTGATGTGCAGGATGACGCTCCAACCAACTGAGCTACCTGCCCAGGACCAAACTAAATGCATTTTAGCTTCCAAATTACATTGCCCTTTTGAAGTTTTTGCAAAACATCCGATCACAGTTTGGGGAAGATTTTTAGGTACAGTGGCATTCCTATTTTCATCATCTGTAAAGATCACCCCTCCCCGACTTTTAATTCCTTTTTAACTGCCTCATGCACACTTACCTGTAGGTATCATTCTATGCAAGGAGGATGTCATGAGTATCCTAACCTGGGTGGTGAGGGAGAGAAGCTGGTGGTGTAGAGGAATAAATCCCAGGCTCTGGGGACACAGTTGGAAGCAAATTCTGACTCTAGAGTCTAGACCAATTTCTCAATCTGTCTGAACTCCGGTGTTCTCCTCTGTAAAAGGAAGATAACAATATCTGTGTTCACAGGGGGTGATGGGGGATTAGCTGAGTAAACACCTCTACAGTATCTGTCACATTGTAGTTTTTCCAAAGGCTAGTTCTTTTTTGAAAAAATTTATCTTTATTGTTGAAAGTATTACAAATGTCTCCTTTTCTCCTTTTGATCCCCTCCACCCTGATCCCTTCCCCTCCCCAGGCCTTTCCCATACTATTATCTGTCCATGGGCTATGCATATGTGCAAATAAGTTCATTGGTTAATCCCTTCCTGCTCCCTCACCCCCTCTCCTCTGAGATTCAGCAGTCTGGTGCATGCTTCTATGTCTCTGGATCTTTTGGTTCGTCAGTTTATTTTGTTCACTAGATTCCACATGTGATAAATGAGATCATGTGATACTTGTCTGTCTCTGACTGGCTTAATTCGCTTAGCACAATACTCTCCAGGTCCTCCCCATGCTGTCTCAAAGAGTAAGAGATCTTTCTTTTTTTATAGCTGCATGGTATTCCACTGTGTAAATGTACCATAGCCTTTTAAATCCATTTTTAATCCATCATCTACTGATGGGTACTTGGGCTGTTTCCACAATTTAGCTATTGTAAATAATGCTGCTCTGAACATAAGGGTGCATATATTCTTTCTGATTGGTGTTTCTGGCTTCTTAGGATATATTCCTAGAAGTGGGACCATTGGATCAAATGACAGTTCCCTTTTTTATTTTTTGAGGAAACTCCACACTGTTTTCCATAGTGGCTGCACCAGTCTGCAGTCCCACCAGCATCTGTTGTTTGTTTATTTATTGATGATAGCCATTCTGGTAGGTATGAGGTGGTAGGTACCTCATTATCATTTTAAATTGCATCTCTCTGATGACTAGTGACACTGAGCATTTTTTCATATGTCTCTTGTCCACTTATATGTCCTCTTTGGAGAAATGTCTATTCAGATCTTCTGCCCATTTTTTAATTGGGTTGTTTGTCTTCCAAAGGCTAGTTCTTCCTCTCAGCTAACTAAATCTTCTCTCTCTCTCTCTCTCTCTCTCTCTCTCTTTCTCTCTCTCTTTCTCCCCACCCCCTAAAATTTCAGAATGCTTTCATAGTTTCTAAACTATGGGAACTGTCATTTGATCCAATGGTCCCACTTCTAGGAATATATCCTAAGAAGCCAGAAACACCAATCAGAAAGAATATATGCACCCTTATGTTCAGAGCAGCATTATTTACAATAGCTAAATTCTGGAAACAGCCCAAGTACCCATCAGTAGATGATGGATTAAACTATAAAGTAATAGAAACTACACATTTTTGACATTAGTGCAATGATTAAACAAAAATAATATAGAAGATTAGATTATTTTGAAGGAAATTCTGTACTTGAAAACAGTGAGAGCAAAAATTTTAAAAAGATTATATTTTAGAATGCATCTACAATAAGTAAGAAAAACTATTTTTGTCTGAAAATGGTTGATGATGTATTCATTATCTAAAAAGAGAGGTAGAGACTTATCAACACCACCTGGAAATGCTTTTTAGTACATATATATCAGTACCGTATTTAAATACGAGTTTTCATGACTCCACAGGAATGGAAGGCAAAAGCAAATCTCTGTGATTATTATGAAAACTAAGGCACAAATCTCAATTTAAAGCCCGGCCTTTCCCAAAGGTTAGAGTGGAGCCCTGCATTGATTCCCTTTCTGCTGAGACACAGGCACTGCAGGGTGAGTGGGGTGAGAATGCTCTGAAATGGACCAGCCATTGGGTGGCTGAGCAGAGACAGTAGCTGAGTGAGCCATCTCAGGAGTCACGGTGGAATTTGGAGGTCAGTGATGAAGGTTCATAATGAATAGGATACACCCTTGTTCTGGGTGAGGGCGAGTCAGGCACAGAGGGATGTAGCAGACAAGAATCACAAGCAGGGCTCACAGGATAGCTCTGAAGAATTTTACCAACATCTTTGTTATCTCCCTTACGGTCTTTATCAAGATGCCCCATAGCTTTCGCCCAGACACATCAGGGTATCTTGATAAATTCTTTGCTTGAGTTACCGACAGGTTCACAAGGACCCTGTTATTCTGGGGTTCATTTTGCCAAGAGAGGAAGTCTGAAAATTCACAAATGTAAAAAAACTTGCGAGGAGAATATATCTATTATGAATTTGGGAGAAAGTGATCATGCTGTCTCAGGGATGGCAAAAATAAAAGTAAATGCCCGACTTACATGACTGAAAAGAACATTTTAAATTGAGATTTTTGCCAATGCACACCTGCCTGGGACAGCCCCAAAGGACCGGGAGACTTTGGACAGCAGGTCAAAAGGATGGACACAGGTTAAAGAGACAACAGTTCTGAATCGCTCCCTTCTGCGTACATGGCACTCTACGCCTCCCAGGGCAAGCCCTTCTGTGGCTGCTGCCGCATGTCCAGGGTCACAGAACTCACCTGATCTTCACTTGGTCTTCAGTCCTGCTCTGACAGAGCTAGGCTCATTCGCTCCTCAGTCAGTCGTTTAACAGCATCCTCTAGCCCAGTGGTTCTCAAACTTTAAAGTGCAACAGAATCTAGAGAGCTTGTGAAACACAGGTGACTGAGTCCCACCCACAGAGTTTCTGATTCTGAAGGTCCCAAGAATTTGCATATCTGACAATTTCCTGGTTAATGCTGATGGTGTGATCCAGGGACCACTCTCTTGAGAACCACAGCTTGAACCATTTCTTAGGCCTATAATTCCTGAAGAAAACCTATTCACGCTTGTCCTTTTCAATGACTAAACTCGCCTACTTCTCAGAGATGCAGCCACAATATGCTAGAGCTGTGGAGAAGATGAACCCATCAGTGTCCTGTGGGCAAGCAGCTGACAGAGGAGTGTGTCTGTGGGGAATAGAGCGAGGGGAGGACACACAGAGGTGAGCGGCCAGTCATTTGGGAGGGGGCTGTTTTTTTCCAGCTGAAGCCATCAGGGTAGGTTTTAAGGATAAGGTAGCATGTGAGCTGGGGTTTGAAAACTTGTGGGATTTGAACATACCGAGATGGAAGGTGGTCTTTCTGTGAAAAGGAAAACATAAAAGGCAGAAAGTGATAAGGTGTGAATGGAACTCAGAAATTCGTTTGGTTAGGCTAGGCTTTCTACACTTGTCCCCAGAACTTCCTTGGGGAATTCTTTGATGAAGCCATCTAACCTTAACTCCTTTACTTCCATCTATAACTTGGTGAGGGCATGTCTGGGGTAGACCTCTGGAATGGAGGTAGGGATTTCAGGCACCACGGGAC